GGGGGGGGGGGGGAGCGGGCCATTCAGGGATCTTGGGTTCCTTTGCCTTCCAGCTAAGGCTGGGCCCACCCCTTCCTTCCCCCCATTTCCCCCGCCACCATGCACAGTGGCCAGGTCTTCCTGGGCTGGGCAGACCCGAGCTGAGTAAGTTTTCTTTCTAGCATCTGGACCAGGAATGGGCCTCTTGATTTAAAACAAGGAAGCTTGCCAGTTTAAGTAGGTGTTAAAGCCTAAGCCCAAGCTGGCTTCTTTCTTCCCTACTGGGGGTTGGAGAGGTGTGTGCCTTTTTTTCTACTCCTATCCTGCCCCTGCCAACCCCATCCCAATTTGGGGGGCTGTGGAGGTTACAGAACTCGGAGAGGGGAAAGGAAAGGATGGGGGCAGGCACTCTGTGGTATTCAGCTGTTTGGCTATAGGAGTCTCACTTCGTCCCATGTGTCCCAGCGACAAGGCCCACCCACCTGTCCAGCGTGGCCTCCCACGGTTCCTAGGCATCTGCATGCTCCAACTTGTCAACCTTTCACATCTTTGACATGCCACGCACCACCACCACCACACCTGAAATGGCATTCCTCACCACTGAACAGTCAGCCTCCCACGTGCCAGGCCCCGGGCTAAGCATGTTATATACATGAGCTCATTTGTACCCCGAGACTCTTAGGAGGTAGATAGTGGTATTCTCCAAACCATGTAGCTTTTCCAAGGACATACGAGACTCCAATCTCTTTTTTCGACCCCAAACCTGAGACTCCTAGCCACTAACTATATACCTGTCCAAATTCTACCTCTTCATTTATTCATTCAACAAACTGAGCACTAACTGTGCCAGGTACTCTAAGAGTGGCTGAGCCCCACTTCTGGAAGGATGAGTGTCAGTTTCATTTATCACCCTGCGAACACCCATACCCTCCACATATTTCTGCATACAAGTGAGGAAATTCAGCATTGGTGAGGCCCAAGACCCACAGCTAATGTGAGCCAGGATTCAAAACCAATCCAGAGATGCCCCCTTCCCCACCCCCCAGAGTTGGAGGGATTGACCACCGTGCCAGCCAGCAGGGTCCAGTGAACAACTGCAAATGAATCATAAACTATCCACATTGCCACTTCCACCCAGGGCAGAATGTTTTCCTCCTCCAAGGAGTGGCCGGGTCTCCATAAACACTGCTCTAGATAGACCAGGGTTCAGTTGCTTCAGCAACGTAAGAACACTGTCTCTACAGAATTACTCAATACTCACTCTTCCTAATCAGTCTGTCCTCATACATCGCCATAGTCACCTGGCAGAGGGTGCCACAGGTGAGCACTCATTGTTCTGCAATCAGGCAGTAATTTGCTCCTGTCTCTGTCTTCCAATTAATGAGAGCCAGGTGGGATCTAAGCAAACAGCACATTTTTAAGCCTTCTTGAGTTCTCAGATTAGGAGATTAAACTGTAAAATATATATATATATAATATGTGTGTGTGTGTGTGTGTGTGTGTGTGTATACACAATAAAACCCATACAGTAAATATAAAGGAATTTAGGGGTTGGGGAATGGACCTACTAAGCTTTACGTGGTGGAGTGGGCCGTCTCGGTTCATCTGTTGACAGCAGGTGCTGGGGTCTGTGCTGGAACTGCCCTTCCCTTTACTATACACATGTGGAGCTTGTGGGGTGGCCATTAGGCTGTGGGAAGGTAGGCTTGTGATTTTACAGGTGGGCTTGAGAGGGTAACCACAAGCCTACAGTCAGAGCGAGGGTCTCTCTGAAGGTGACCTTATCCTGGCTGCATGGATGGAGGACAAGGTGGCTATGACCTGGGTCCTCCAGGTTGAGTCTAGACTGCACATGGCCACAGTGGGCTTGCTGGGGGCTGTGCTGAGGCCTTCTGGGTGACCACCCAGGCCTGCACCTGGGTCAGTGGCACATTGGACATAGTGGGAGTGAGAGGAATCACCATTGTCCAGCAAATCAGGCCCAATCTACGTGTGAGGCGAGTAGCTGAGGGAAGTGAGGCCAGGCCTTTTGTGGCTGGTCCTTGGAGGCAGCTCCAGATTGGCCAGAAATAAGGTGGTACCTGGAACTAGAAGGGAAGGAAGCAAGCTGGTGCTGGGCCCAGCAGCCAAGGATTGTGCTGGGGGGGCGGGAGGAGAGAGGGCTTCCATCCTGGAAAAGTCCCACCCTGCTGATATTCCTGTACCAGAGGCTGGAGTTGGAAATCTTCCAGCGCCCGTTCTGTTGTGAGTTCTGGCATGGCTGCTTGTTACTGCAGCTCTTATTGAACATCTGGTGTGGCAGTGTGTGGAGTACCAAGGGGAGAGGGGTTTCCAAGATGGTGGGAGCTTAGGGTGCAGCCCAGGTCTCAGGGAGAACCCAAGGGAACAGGTGTCACAGCTGGCCTGTGCTCCTGAGCTCCTGTCCGCCCATGCCCGGAGGGTTTGCTTTCCTAAGAAGTGCGGTTTCCTCTTAGTGTGGCTTCTCCAGGGGCGTCTAGAGACCACCCACCAGCAGCTTTGATAAGAACACAGAGCCTGGAGCCCCCCTCCCCCCACACACACACATTGAATCAGGGACTCCAGGCCTGGGGCTGCCCACAAACCTCTAGTTGCCTGGGTGGTTCTGGGGTTCACAAATGTTTGAAGGCACTGCCTGAGCCCCATTGGCCCAACAGGGGTCTGTCAGCCTCACAGTGAATGGAGAGCCGTGTGAGGAGCTGTGTGGACACACGGGGTGGAGGAGGCGCAGATGCCTCCCTCAGCTGACCACTGAGAACCCAGAGGAGCTGAGTGACCACAGAGCACCCAGAGCAGCAGAGAGAGAGAAGGTCAGTGGCCCAAAGCAGAGCAAGGAAAGGTGTATGCAGAGCGGCTCTAAGTCAGATATGCAGGCGCAGGCTTGCACGGGCTCTCAAACGGTCAATAGAGAGGGAAGCAGCCTGCCTGAGGTCACGCAGCAAGCAGGCAGCCAAGCCTGAGTTCACACCCAGGTCTGTCTAACTAGATGCACCAATTAACAGCTGCCTTTCTGAATTCTGAATTCTGAGTGGGAGGAGATTGTTGGGGGGCTGTGGGGGGCTGCAGATGCCTTAAGTGTCCAAGGGCTTGGGTTGGATCTTTAAGGAAGGGGATTTGGATGGGTCAGGAGGATGTTAAGACTTTAAGGTAGAAGTAATGCACTGGCCGAAGTGGGGTGGGACTGGGACTGGAGGAGGGGTAGTGGAAAGTCAGTTTGTGCTGGACTTCTCGGAGATTCAAGAACCTACCCCTACCCACAGGAGGTTTCACTCTAGTAGGAGACCAGACGTAGGGGTGACAGCAGTCAGAGAGCGCTGCAGGCCCTGTTCTGGTTGTTGGTGATAACAGGAAACCTGCCCAGAACCTGGTGGGATGTGTCTGGTTACCAGATGCCCAGGATTACTCAGAGCTGCCATATTCCAAAATCACTAGTGTTCAGACAAGGTGAAAACAATCGGATACACTTGCCCCTAAGACGACTTGGCATAAATTCACTTCAGTGATTCAAAATCCTCCAAACCTCTGGCCTCCTCTGGTCTATCGGTGTGGCCTCCAGGGTCAACTGAGAAGCCGTCAGCAGCAGGCAGGCATGTGCCCGTGTCTTCTTCCCCATCCATGCTTTGCCCTGTGACAGGGCTGTCTTCTGTTTGTTGGTCTTTGTCTATCTGTCTGTCTGTCTTCTGTGTGAGCACTGACTAGCAAGTAAAGATGACAGTGAAACCTTTATCGGCACAAAATGCTGAGAGACTTATCACTAAGCCGATGACAGCCATGGTGACTGCAATAAATTACCCCCACAGAAATTGATAAAATTGCCACTTTCTGCAGCCATTATGTTTGGCTTTGCATCCCGAAGAGAAAGCACCTCTGCCTCTCTCTCTCTCTCTCTCTCTTTTTCTCATGCTCTCGTGTTAGATGACATTCACTCATTTTATGCATTCTGCTGGCCGTCCCACCTCAGTTCCTGTAGCAAAGACACTCAAGTCTGAGCCACTAATTATCACCAGTGAGGTTTCCTTCCCAAACAGGAAGTGTCAGGCCAGAAGTGCTCTCTCTCAGTGCACTCACTAACCAAGCATCAGTCACCACTCCCGGCCCAGTCCCTGTGGCCAGTAGCTGGCATGCAGGCTGAAGGGGAGGCAGCCCGGCTGGCCAAGCCCCTGGCGGGTCCCTCACCTTCTGAGAAACCAATGTCAGGCTGTGCGCAGGTTGGAGACCCAAGCGAGGAGGGGTGGCCCAGCTCGCAGTGGGGTTGTCAAGGGATTGGAGAGCTTCAGACCCTCACTGGGCAGATGTCGCACCAGCCCGTTGTCGGTAAGTCTGGTTAGGACGCAGATCCCAGGTGGCATGGGTGCTGTGCAGGGCCCTCCCACCAGTTGTGCCAGCCTCTGCCCTGCCAGAGTGTGCCCCGTGTGTCTCCACAAGGCCAGAGAACTTGACACCTCCCAGAGAGCTGTACAGCCTTGGAACTGGCAGCGAAGAATGCAGTATAATTATGTTCTTGCCAAAATGAAATGGGAAATATTAGCATCTGCACATTTTCATGGCTCCTTTTTGAGGGGTGGGGTTCTAGGCTGTTAAGGCAGGAGGCTTTTCAAAGTAAAGAGTTCAAGGATTTATCACATGCAGTGCCTTCAGTTAGTGAGAGCAGCAGCCTTGTGGGTTCCGGTATGTTGTGTGCATGTTTTTTTTTCAGATGTTAATGTTTACGATGCATTTCTGTGGAATGGAGGCCCACTGGAAATTGTAAATTTTACATATTGATAACCATTTCTGCATTGGTTTATCAGGGAACTGCTGCTGCAAGTAATCGAACTGGATTTTTCTAGAATGATTCAAAAATCTAGATGTTTGTAAAAAGCCCTATAAATTATTCATTCATTTTTATTTTGCAAAGTGGTGTGGTGATAAACTTGTTTTCCGTCAGACCAAACTTGCACGTATGTGTGTTTGTGTGTGGATTGGCTTGTGTCTGCCTGCACTTTCTGTATTCTCTTTTGTAAGAACATCTCTGCCTTCCTTTTAAAAATATAACCATTTTTTATGATGTCTAAATAATGATTGCAGACAGTATTACAAGAAATATAACAGTGAAATGTTTGTAAGAGTCCATCAGAAAGGGAAAATGCCCACAGAGAAAATAGAAATGTACAATTAAGATGTGTGTGGCTGTAACCCAGCTTTTAAACCCTGATTTAAGACTCGCATCCTGTCTTCTCTCCCCTTAGGTCAGCTGTGGGAGGATAGGGGTGGGAGAGGGAGTGGGAACTGGGGTCACATGGGGCCTCCTGGACCCCTAAGCCTGACAACGAGGCCTGGGGGCCATGCTGCCCTGATTCAGGGTCTGGGATAGAGGGCAGCCCAGATTTGCAGAAACAGCCTGAGAATGAGGGACTGGAAAGTGTGTTAAGACAGCTCAGTGAGGAGAAGGGAACTCCAGGAGGAAAAGAGCGGACAGCATCAGAGCCCTGTGCCCACCAGGCAACTGGCATTACTCAGGTCCCTGGCAAAGAGCCATCCGCCCTTACCACCCTGGAGGCAGCTTGAATGCGGGGACTGGATAGGACTAGGGCACAGTAGATCCACATCAGGCAAGAGCAATGGGGTCTGGGGGAAATCCCTTAACCTGGCTGGGCCTCGGCTTTCTCATCTGCAAAGTGGCAGTAATGGTAGCCTTGTGCCGGTCAAAGCCCTTGTGGACATGTCCATAGTCACGATCTCTAGCCTGGCCTTCTCTGCATTCGACCCCTGGTTATTGCAGATGTGCCTGTGCCAGGCACTTGCTGGGTGCTGGGATGTGACTGCCCAGTTGCCTGTCTGCTGGGGAAGCCCAGGGTTTCTTCATGGGCAGTCATGCAGCAGGAAGGGGGAGCTAGGGGACTTCCCTGCAAGCTGCTTCTACTTGTGTAACAAGTATTCCGCTTTTTACTTAGCTTGTATGTTTCAGATCCATAATTTGGGAAAGACTTTACAGAAACTGTGATTCAGTTTACCCGACTGGGAAATATGAATTATTCATACCAAAGGGTTAGTTTTAATATTAATATTAGCATGTATGGAGAAGTGATGGAGATTATGGGTGGCTAGGGTCCCCCACCATCCACCCCCTTGGAAGTCTAAGGGAAAGTACCTCCCGTTGCATACTAGTCCATCCTTTTAGCTGCAGAGAGCTGAGGGGCCCAGAGGAGGGAGATTGACTCTGCCTTGAAGATCTGGCCTTTCTGTTGGACCTTGAATTTCATTAGTTTGGGGGGAAGGGGCTTTCCAGGCAGGAAGATTAAGTCTATGACCTGAGCAGAAAAAAAGCATGAGATCTGGGTGGGAGTCATCATCACTGGGTGCAGGACGGCCCCAGCCAGGTTCTGGGGAGAACAGCCAGGACTCAGAAGCACACCCTACCCTTAGGCACAGAATCTGGTAGCTACATCATTTAAGCCATAAACATTAATTGAGCACCTACCTTTTCCAGGAAGCCACACCCCAGGCTAGGTACAGAAAGAAGTACGAAGTGGCCCCCATCTGGTAGGGTGATAGACAAGTAAACTGGTGTGCAGTCAATGGTAACGTGACAGAAGTGCAGAGGAAGCCCCAGAGTGTGAAGCCCCCTCTGTTCTAGGTCCAGGAGGAAGCCTGGACCAACCTGCTGAACTCTAAGAACTTGCAAAAGTTAGAGCTCTTCCAAAAGTCAGAGTTGGCCCATGGTGGGTGGTTGGGAAGTGTCTGCATGACCCTTCCCATGCAGAGGAATTGGAGAGTGGAAGCCAACTTCCAGTGTCCCGAGGAGTCCAGAGGAAGAGGCCACCAAGGGTCAGGGGAGGGCCCCCTCAGAGGCTTCCTGGAAAAGACTGGGCATTGACTTGGTAAACAGGAAGTGTGCGTCCCCAAGCCCAAAAGTCTGGTGGCCTGGAGCTGACTCTGTGTGTCTTGGCTGCCTCTGCCCTTACCTTCTGTAGTGGGTTGAATTATGCCCCCCCAAAACTCACTGAAGCTTGAATGGTGTCCCCCAAGTTTTCTGTATTAGATCCTTGGCCCCCACTGTGACAGTTAAGAGGGTGGAAAATCTTGTTATGGTGATTGAAGGGTGGAGCCTTCAAGAGGTGAATGGATTATAGGTCCATGCAGGAGTGAGTGGATTAAAAATGGTAGGGGCGTGGTTCTGAGGGCTTTAAAAGAGAAAAGAGAGTCTGTCTCTTTCTCTGCTCTCTCTGCTTCGCCATTTTTGCAATGTGATACCCTGTATTCACCAGATGTGTTCCCTGGGCTTTGGACTTAATAGCCTCAAAAACTGTAAGCAAGGGGCCGGCCCGTGGCTCACTCAGGAGAGTGCGGTGCTGATAACACCAAGGCCACCAGTTCGGATCCCATATAGGGATGGCCGGTTAGCTCACTGGGTGAGCGTGGTGCTGACAACACCAAGTCAAGGGTTAAGATCCCCTTACTGGTCATCTTTTAAAAAAAAAAACAACAACAACAACAAAAAAAAACTGTAAGCAATAAGTTTTATTTTCTTTGTAAAATATCCAGTTCCGTATATTTTGTTTTAAGCAACAGAAATGGACTAATACACCTTCCCCTCACACCTCGCCCTGCCTGGGAGCAGGCCAAGGCCCATCCCTGATTCTGCAAACCCTACTGCAAGGCAAGAGGAGAGGTGGGGGCAGCCACAGCCCACAAGACCCACCAGCCCTAGGGTTTGCAGCTCCAAGTCTCCCTGGAAAGCAAGAAACCAGCCAACCCCAGATGCCGAGGCTGCAGATTCAGCTACCACTGCCTGATGGCCTCCAGCCTGGCTGGATTAACCAGCCCGTGGGGAGCTGGCTGCCCCCAGATACCAGCTCCTCCACCTCCCTGGGCAGAGTTAAGCCACTCCTCCCTGCACCCGCAGCACCTGGGCATGCCCTCATTCAAGCACTTTGCTCTTTGCTGCAGTGTGTAGCAGGCCTTTCCCCTAAGAGTCCTAAGAAGGCAGCTGTCATCTGGCACCTGCATGGCCCTTGTGCCTTGCTCTGTGCTGGGTACAAAGTAGGTACCCAGGGAATAATGAGTAGGAATTTCTTAGAGGAGGCTTGGCAGGACCAGCCATTACATAAAACTGCTACTGTCTGCATGGATTGCAGTGTAAATGGCGCCCTCTGGGGTTTTGCAGCATGGGGACCCTGGAACTTAAGCATTCCCTATTTTGTTATTCAAGCCCCTGGCCATGGTGCTGACCACCGGGCCTTCCTCTTCCCCTCACAACCAGCACTGACCACCATCGTGCCCATATGCTGGCAGTGGTAATGAGCTGTTCCAATAAATAGTTCTTCCGGGCCCACTGTCAAGTTGTGGTGGTAAAAGAGAGTTCTAAAAAAAAAGAAAGTTCTAGAGGGGAGTCAGGCCATCTGGATTTGTGGTTAGCCAAGAAACTCTGTTGTCTGGGAACATCCTCCCAGTTGGGGTGTTAGGGGGCTCCTAGATCCCCAGGATCTTCATGGTCCCCCAATACCGTTCCTCTTCTCCACCACCCTGCAGTGGGCCTGGTGACTGGCATGTGGCAGGGGAGGGGCTGTGGGGCGGGCCTGTGGAGTTTGCCTCATTGGCTCAGCTAATGATGCCATTATGACTCTAACCACCTTCTCACCACAAAGACCTCGCTCTGGGCGCCTGAGGGATGTGCAGGGTAGGGTGTGTGCACCCAAACCACAAGACTGAGAGGAGCATAGGGAGAGAGCACTGATACTGGTCAGGCAGTGCTTTACGCAGGAGTCGGGCTGGGAGCTGGGCTGACTATAAGAATCCAGGAAAAAAATCAAATCTGGGGTGTCTCTTGCATGGGAGCGATTCATTAATTCATTCTCCCTTTCCATAGTCCTTTATTGAGCACCTACTGTGGTGATTTTCAAAGTGCAGTCCTTGGACCAGCAGCATCAGAAATTCTTTGTTATGGAGCCTAGCAGTGCTGTCTGACAGGCCCTCCAGGTGATTCTGATGCAGCTCAAGTTTGACCTAATGTGTGCCTGGCACTGCACTAAGTGCTGGGGTTGCAAAGTGAGTTTTACTCAGTTCCCACGTTTGAGGAGCTTGGAGTCTGGGGAGGGGAGCAACAGGAAAGGCAAACATACCATGTGGTGGGACAAGGGTTGCCCTCGAGGGCTATGCAGGCAGAGGGTCAGCTGCTGTGAGCTTGATCTAGAGCCAGGGACCCTGGCAAGGAAAGATGGCCTGGGGACCCCAATGGCATAAGGACTATCCCTGGCAGGGAGCCGGATGGTGGGACTAGCAGCCCCTACAGGACTCAGGGAACCCAATGCCTCAGTCCCAAACCACTCTGGGAC